GCCTTTACCTACATTATTTTCAAAAACTTATTTTAATTTCTTTTTACAATCCTTTGTTACTGCTTCTTTTTGTAGCAACATTTCCATCTAAACAAATTTGATTATCTTTTATAAATCAAACTCACAAGATTATAATCCTAAAAAATGTTTGATAATATCTCTACGTTATAAACCTTAGTAGCCAAGTTCTTTGAAATCTAAATCAGGTCCAGTCTTGAAATGGATCCTTTGAATTACTGTTTTTCTATCTCCATATATTAACTACCCCCCCCCCAACTGCCCATCAAATCAAAGAAAACTTTGAAAAATTCTACATAGGATTGATTATGTGCCACCAAGTTGGTATCAAGTTCTTGGTTTTCTCCAAGACTATCTGTCTCTATTTTGATCTTTCAAGTTTTCTGTCAGTGCATCCATTGCTCCTGTAATTGAGTCAATCCATCTTGCTACTTGTACTCATCTTCTCTTTCATTACCTTCTCTTTCTTTCCACCTTTCCTTGCACAATAGACTTCTCCAGAGATCTAGGCCTTTCCATAATGTTTCCAAAGTATGCTTGTTTGAGATTGGTAAGTTGTGCTTTGCATAAGAACTCTGACTTGATTTGTTCAATGCATGCCTTTTTGTTTTGTTTTGTTTCGTTGGCTATCCATGGTATTCTCAGGAATCTTGTCCAATACCATAGTTCAAAAGTATCAGTATTTTTTCTATTCTGTTTCTTTAACGTCCAACCTTTACTTCCCTAGAATGTCACAGGAAAAACAATTTCCTGCTTCATTCTAATCTCTGTAATCATTATTTTTTTTCTAAGAACTTAACTGTTTTGCTGATTCCATCTTCAGAAATTAAAGCTGCAGTTTCACTCTCATTCCACTCCACTCTTTATCTGTTATTCTCCTGCCCACTTGGGTGCCTAGACCTCTGCCCACTTGGGTGCCTAGACCTCTTGCTGTTTAATGGGAGTGCAATATTCATTTTTGTACTGCTATTTTGCAACTTCTATTATTTGGGACTCGTATCTTTTCGGGGGGGCTTTTCTTTGAGCTGGTCATATGTGTGTCACCCAATTTTCTGTGATAATTTGCTAAATATACAAGCTTATTCTTTTGGAAAACAGTCAGACCATCAGGTAATATGAAACACACAAACTAATACCTGCATTGGGTAAGATACTAGAAGAGATTATAAAGACGTATGTCTCGGACGATATAGAAAAAATGCTGTGATTATTAGGAGTCAGAATTGGTATGTCGAGAACAAATGTCAGTCTATCCCTTTTTCACGACAGAGTAATCCCTTAGCTTGGTGGAAAATGGAATATTAAAGGAAAAACTGATACTGTTGGGTGACACAGACATTGAGTACTGGCTTTAGCAAAAGCAAAACCTCTCATTACATTCTTGCACACAAAATGGATAAATGTGAGCTAGAGATTCTGCAGTGCAGAGGATTTAGATGAAAGGCTCACACAAAGAATACTAATAAATGATTATTCATTGGAAGAAACATACTGAGTGAGCTCTGACCTTGGCCACCTGCTATTAAATATTATTATAAATGACCTGTTGGATGGAATGGAAACTTTTTAAATTGGTAGATGACAGTAAGTGGTGATTGACTAAAAAAATTAGAGGAAAAAAGTCCCACCAATAAAATAACACTGATGGTCTTGAACATTTAGCTGTATCTAACAGATGACGCATTAGAGAAAACATCAAATATATAGATCCATGACTGCGGAAATCAGACTTGACTACCATGCCTATGAGAATGATTTAGAGGTTTTAGTACACTACCAGCTGAACATGAGCAAAAATTATGATGAAACAGATAATTAGATTAATGCTGTTTTGGATTGCATTAACAAAAGCATTACACCTATGTGATGGGAAATAATATACACTTATTAGCTTGGAGTTCTGCTCCAATTCTGGGCATCAGACATTAAACTGGATAAAAAGAAACAAAAGTGAGTTCAGAAGGCAGTTACAAATAAATTGATTAAAGACAATGGACTAGACTAGAGCTTTATAAGAGACTGGAGCTATCTGTGGACTTTCTATGAATTAAACACAATAACAGTTAACAGAGGGATTTGAAGATTATGTAATGTTTGGGTTGATCTGTTGACTGTAAACACAACAAAAACAATATATATTGATTAGATGCTGGGAGATTGCCTCTTCTGAAATATTTGTTCATATAATATATTTTTCTTGTTACATAAAAACAAGAAACCTTATAATTGTTTCATTTTTGATGTGTGCCATTGTGCCCACAATAAAAAAAATGACAATAAAGGTTATCTTATCTTATCTTATTTGTAGACCCATCATGTAATGGGAGAAGAATTTATAAGGGTTTTTTATTATTATTTTCTTTCCAGCATCCAGCTAGGGTGGATCTTTTTGTATGTTCAATGTTAGACTTATTTGATGTTGATAAATATAATCATCATTTTAGCCATTGTCTATCCACTGCAGGATGAAGGCCTCTTCTGCATGTTTCAAACCAATATGGTCCTGAGCTTTCTTTTGCCAGTTGGGCCCGCAATACTTGCTGATGTTGTCGATCCATCTTGTTTATATATATTTTTAAAAAGATACCTGGCTAGAAAGCAAGAGACTATGAGTTCAAGTTCTAACCATGAAAACCAGCTGAGTGACTTTGGGCCAGTCATTCTGTCTCTGCCGAACTCATCTCACAGGGTTGTTGCAGTGGATAAAATAGGAGGAGGAAAATGTATTGAATATGTTTGCTGCCTTGAGTTATTTGTGAAAATAAAAAATGTGAGATATGAATAAATAAACTCTTTTCCCGGTATAGCCTGGCAAAACAGCAGAATAGGTTATCTTAAAATCAGGATAGTGATTTTTTATTATGTCTATGCCTTTTATGCTACATCTCTTGAGATTAATGAAGAATCTTTGAAACTTTGGGAGGATACCTGTTCCTGGGGCAAGTAAGCAAGGTCCAGTTATTTCTGCTGTGTCTTATTTGAGTGCAGTGGTATCCCTATCATGTGCATTTTTCCCACCTCCACAACCTTTTCCACCATCATCCCACCCAACATTTTTTCCACAGTGATCATTAGAGTAACTCTACATATTTCTGTGATAGTTTCTAACATAATTCTTTTCATTCTGTTTTTTTCCCTTGTATTCATGTTCTTTTCCCTTGTTAACTTATGTTCATTCTGCTGGGAGTTTAATCTCTCTTCTTCTCTTTTTTCCCCTTACATAGTTTGCATTTTCTTTTCCCGCTGGTTTTTACTTCAGCTCTATGATTTTTTACTTCTTTCTTTCCTATGTATTTCTTTCTTTCTTTCTTTCTTTCTTTCTTTCTTTCTTTCTTTCTTTCTTTCTTTCTTTTTTTAAAAAAAGCCATTTATGAAACTAACAAAAAATGGTCTATGCCTCATTTGGAGCCTTTCATTATTCTTGTATCTTTCACTAATTTTCTCAATTTCTCATTATACAGAGTTAAATAAATTATGATTTTAGGCTAATTTTTTTTTGACATAAGTATGTATGAATAAATTTATGTTTAATTATGTATTAGAAACAAACAGAACTTCTAAGCAAATTTTAATCATTGTTCTCATTCATCCCAATCCTTTTTCTGTATTGTTTTATAATCTTCTTTTCACCCATTCAATCATGTCACCTCACAGAATAATATTTTCCTCTGAATCAGATTCATTCTAAAGGTTGTACCATTGTCCCTAAAACTCCTCTGTAGTTTTTCGGTTATCACCATTCAGTGGAGCATAAGATGCAATTAATACCAATCTATAAATTCCTGTTTTCATACATATTCATAGCAACTTAAATGACTCTGATTCAGACATTTCTGCAGCCCTTTTATTCATAATTACATGTATATCTTTACTTCCCTGAAAGTATTTACCAATTCAACTCAGAATACTTTTATATTATATATAAAATATTATATCATTTGTCTTATTTTCATAAAAAGACAATTTATTTTTCTTTTTTAATTTCATTTTCATTTGGAATTTTCCATATATCATGTTCATCACAGATGGGCCCATAAAAATGGACTTCCACTGTCCAACATGGCTTTGGTCATTCAAGGATTTTGCATAGTACATTTTTGATAAGGACAGGATAGACTACAGCACCAGCCTTAGTATCTGTATGCCATATGGGGCATTTCCTTCTAAGGGTAAAGGTAAGACTGATACATTCAGGCACATATTGGCCAGTATGCAACAAATGCAACCAAATCTCAGTTTTACCACAGACATGATCACCCTATTCCAAGCAAGTTAGCATATCAGCATACTTTTGCTCACATCCCAGCAACTTGGAGGGATGGCATATGTATTGACATATATTCAGGATGCCCCTTGAGAACCTAGCTTAAGAATATTATTTGATTCATGTTTTCTAGAACAGGTATTATGAGTCATAATGAAATGTCATGTTGTGGGGATTTTTTAAAATTCCTTTGAACTATCAGATGGGTCTTGAGATTGGCAATAAGTTGTCAGCACTCTCAAGCACATTATTAAAGAAACGTGAGTGTATGGTTTCACTCGTATCCACTGAACACTGGAGGTCCTTGACTCATAGTTCTGCCAGTGATAAATATCTCAAGGTTTTGTTCTAGTTTCTATTATGTAGCTTACAAAGTTTTAATCTGAAAGTATTGTCTGCTGCAGGTAAAAAAGTTGTCTGTGTCAGCAGTTTTGATGAAAACTGTTAACTTTGATTCCATGATTTTATTTCTGAAATACAGGTTTTCTATATAGTGCAGCATTTACCTGCTGAAATTTTTTTCCTTTTTTGTATTACTTTAAAGATAATTTTCCAGTATTTGAACCAGGCTAGAAAATATGCAGAAAGTATTTATTTGTTTATTAATTTTATGTGCTGCACATCTGAGATTCAAAGATGTGGCCTCCTTCATCAATCACAAATATTGCAGTTTTGGAAATTTGTTTTCTAACTCCTCAAGTATTATTTTCTTCTGTAGGTGAAAAACACCCCAACTTTGAAGTGAATTACAGCCATGGCTTTTTATATGAAAAGGAGAGAGAGGCTATGCTGCCAGGATGCATGGCAGAGCAAGCCTTCAACAATGCCATTGGCTATCTTGGTGCAGAATCAGTGCGCCCACTTGTGCAAGCCTCAGCTGCTCCAACCTCAGAGATGGTGCCTGTTATCAGCAGCCTGTATCCCCTTACATTCACTCACACTGAAATATCTAATAATAACCCACCAAAAATGGAAAAAAGTGACACCCAACCAAGGGACAAGATACCTACTGAGCAAGGCCTTTCTCCAAACAATAGTGGTCAACATTCTGCAGATTCAGATAACAATCAAGAAGAGAATCAGAATCATGCCTATCTTCAAAATCAAATGGTTCCTCCTCCTTTGCAGGCCAGGAATGGACTCCTGACTTTCAAGGAACTTCCTAGAGCATATGACATGTTCAGACAACCAACCATTTGTCCTTGTGATGTCTTGAAAGTCTTCAACAAAGAAGGTGAACCCGTTGGAGTCTATCGATGTGATCATTGTCGTGTTCTTTTCTTGGATTATGTTATGTTCACTATTCATATGGGATGTCATGGTTTCCGTGACCCTTTCGAATGTAACATGTGTGGGCACAGGAGCCATGACAAATATGAGTTCTCATCTCACATAATTCGGGGTGAACACAGAATGGGGCTGATATGAAAGCAAAATTACTCCGTTATTTTCTGAGAGACTCAATGTGCATCTGTACTGCAAAATCAGCCAGTGTTTTAAATATAATTAAATATTGAGTTTTCTCAAAAAACAAAACACATCTGATCATGGATGTATGAATGGGTATTTTTATGAAGTTCACTTATAGAACTAAAATGTTCAGCATTCTTTGACCTGAACTAGGAAGGTTAAACAGATTATAATTACTTATATAGAAGCATATTAAGATCTTTTTAAAAACAAGGATCTCCTTAAATTCTAAACTTCTAGAAAAAACTACTTCATTTTTCAGTGTTTCTTTGCTTTTCAACATTTTAATTGCAATGCATTAACATTTGGCCATCTTTTGTCTAGTTAAACATGTCTTGTGGCAAAGAGTTTACTGTATTATAGTGTTGCCTAAACTCCAGCAAACATTACTGCATAATTTTGCCGCATGTTTTTTAAAGAAAACAAAGATTTCTTCCATACTAGACTTCTATTAAGCTGTCAAACTGCCTTATTCAGAATTCTACTAAATCTCCAAATGACATCATATTCTATTTTTAACCTTCTTGTCTCAGAATTTCAATATAGAAAAAAAAGCTCCCAAATCATTCCACAATGTCTTTCAGCAGCACTCTGGAAGCACATAATAATGACATATAGAAAGGTATAATGACAAAACTGAAGGCAGGCCTCATTTTCTTACAGGAAGAAATTACAATTTAGCAAACATCTGGAACTCACATGGTTAAAACCCAAGGAATGCCAACAAGAAGGAAATTTTTAAAATGCGGAAACCTGTGACTGAACTGAAATCTGAAGCTAAAGTGCTTAACATGTAACTCATTGCCATCTTTAGTATTAAAAAATAAGCTTTGGGATAGCGCTATAGGGCTGGCATAATCATGTTTTGGACATTCATGAAAAAAATGAATGTATATCATTATATGACCATTGGATAAGGATTTATAGGGGAAGAATTTAAGAATTTCTTATATGTGCCATTCTTTGATACATGCACTGTAATTGTTACTTGTAGTCAGTAGATATTTGAAGTCATGTGTCATAAGGATATTTGTTAAATTTGCTGGAATGTCTTCAGCTTTTGTTGAATATTGAGTACTGATTTGTTATTATTCTAGGAATGAAGTTATCCTCTATAATAGTAGTGTTCCAATCCAAAAGCTGCTTCGTATAGGATAATAGTAGCCTGTTAGCTATAAAATCACACCAAGCAGAAGACAATTTGGTTATCTTTTGTCCTTCAAGATAAACCCCAGATTTGATGAAGAGGGAAGAAAGGTGGGTGCGGGAAAATGAAGACATCCCACCAAATTTCAATGAGAGTCACATTTTCAATGAAATATCAAAGCTTCTTCTGGGCAAAAAAAAAGTAGAGGGATATTGAAGTGATATTGAGATACAATGAACAGTAAAGAGATTTCTCAACAGGAAAGGGGAAAAATCCAATACATGCTAAGACATTTTGCTCAGAATCAGCTTTCAAAATGTAGATTTTTTTCCTTCAAAGAATTCTTAAGAAAAAAAAAAGAAGTTTCTATAAGGCTAGAGAAATTACTCAGGGCAGTCAGAAGATTTGCATTATTGTGCTAGTAATTTTTTACTCAAGTTTGCTTAATCTCCTTTCATTTTAATACTTCTGGAAGAACGAGCCTTTCTCTTACCTAGTAAACAAAAAATATCTATATTATTATCCAAGTAGATTTAATATTATCACATAATAGCTAAGTCATTCTAATATATGGTAATATTGTGTATAAACACTGCTATTTCAACTAATGGCTGCTCAGAATCTTCTCTAGAAAAATTCAGTGGAATGTTTTGGCTTTAAACACAAATTTCTACTGTGTTTACTTTATATTGTAAATCATTTATTTTAAAGTCTTTTCTTCAATGTAAATTAGTAGATATAATTTTAATACAATATGATTTTCGATATACATGGCTCTGACTATTTTATTTTATTATTATTATTGGTCTAGATTAGATATTATAAGCCTTCTTTGTAAACCAGTAAAAACAGTCCATTAATACCTGAATCAAAGCATCTAGGTTGAGAAGTAAGAAATTTAATAACAGTGGGATTAAAATGCACATTCTATTACAGTCAAGTCATCCTCTACCCATTACACTCATCAGAACCTTTTAGGAACAAATAGCAATGTGGACAGTAAAGGCATAAGAGTTTTAATTGCAAAGGAAATAGGAAGCCAAATTCTCTCTCTAGGAGATCCTCTATTACCACATTCATTTTCCATGAAAAAAAATTCTATCCTTATTTGACAAGTGCTGATTCACTACTTTCAGTTTTATTATGCTAGTAATCAATGATTACAATATTTTTTAATCTGTCTCAATGATATCTTGCAGAGGAGAAAAGCACTATATGGGAACAAAGAAGCAACAAATTCAGAAAACCAGTTCACAAGTCTTTCCTAAATTATCTTTGGTATAGGACACAAGCAACACAATTTCTCAGTAGAGGAATTCCAACCAAGCCTTAGTGCAGTGGTTCTCAACCTGTGGGTCGGGACCCCATTTGGAGTCGAATGACCATTTCACGGGGGTCGCCAAACCATGCTGTCTGCCATTTTTTTCCCTTTTCCCTAGCTGTCTTAATCCCTCTTATTGGTGGCCACACCCACTTGGGGGTCACCACAACATGGGGAACTGTATTATGGGGTCACGGCATTAGAAAGGTTGAGAATCACTGCCTTAGTGGAATGCTTGGTTGGCTTGGAACCAGCAGAATGGGAAGCTGAAGGTCTCAGATCTCCTCTACTCAAAGTCTCTGGTTCTGAACTCTGGTCCCAATTTCTGCTTTCTTCATTTCTGCTGCCACCGTCTATTTTCTGGAAGGGGTATATATGTCATTTTGTCTGTTGTTCATTTGATAAGTAGCATGCAGCAGAACTAGGTCATTTATGGTAATTAAGAGATAAAAAGAAATTGAAAAAAATAGTGCCCTTCTATTGGGAGTGATAGACCAATCTCATAATGAATGAACAAAATTAACCTTTTATTTTTTTTAAAAAAAAAACAGATAAAATATAATGATTTCTTATTAACTTTAGACCAGGAGTAGGCAACCTTGGCTCTTTTAAGACTCGTGGACTTCAACTCCCAGAATTCCTGAGCCAACCATATATGGCTGGCTCAGGAATTCTGGGAGTTGAAGTCCACGAGTCATAAAAGAGCCAAGGTTGCCTACCCCTGCTTTAGACACTGAAATACAAACATTAAGGGTGAAGAGAATCTGATACAAAGTGATCAACTCAGGTCAGCCACTTTCTGAGGAATTAAAAAAGGAAAAAAGATAATAAAATATCAGGCAAGCCACAAGATGGCACTGGTTTTCTAGAAATGGAGAGTTTCATTATTCAAACAATGGAGGATTTTTTAAACAATTTTACAGAAAAATTATAGCTGCATATCTGACAACTGAATAAAAGGTTATTTGGTCTAGTTTGATCTGCTGGTTGAGACAGCAGGCTAAAAACCAGGAAACTGTAAATTCTAATCCTGCTTTAGACATGAAACTGGCTGGGTGAGCCCAGGTCACTTCACAGGGCTGTTGTTGTGGGGAAATCAAAGGAGTATTAAGTATGTTTGCTGCCTTGAGTTATTTATAAAAATAATAATAAAGGTGGAATAACAAATCTAAAGTAAAAATTTAAAAATACAGTTCCATGTAAATTTCAGGAGCTATTTAGAGGTAGCAGGATTATGCTTATCTATTTTCCCAGAATCCCTAATTAAAATCCCTTTAGGGAGGACAGTCCTCCTTTAGGGAGGACAGTCCTCCTTTTGTAAGTTCTGTCCTCCCTCAGAAAATGTCCTCCTACATGTTCTCCTTTACATATTTGAAGACTAACTAATCTGCAGGGCTTTTTTTTTTTTCCTCATAGAATGCTCAGAACGGTGTTCCGGCACCTTTTGTTGTTGTTGTTTTTTCAACTTTTGCATGAGCTGTGCTACTCCCCCTATTGGCTTTCGAAAGCCAATAGGAATTGCTGCTGAGCGCGCCAAAACACCCGGCCGGCAAACTTTGCACATGAAAGTTGTCTGCAGCGAAGGCGAATTGGCAAGAACTTTGCACCCCTCCCTGCTACCCAACTACACCATCTCCTAGTTAGTTTTGAAGATACCTGGAGGAGACTAACTTCCATTTAGGGATGGAAAAATCAAAAAAGAGGAAATGCCATTTCATCGATAAATTGAATAAGGAATTTCCTTTCATCACATTAAAGAAGGGTAACATTGTTTTCTGCAATATTTGCAGTGGAGAATTTTGTATTGCAGTTGGGGACAGAGCAGCTATTACAAAACACTTGACCACCAAGAAACATAAGCAATCATTAGATGCATCTGCTTCCAGTTGTAAAGTAACAAGTTTTTTAAAACTTCAAAGTATTCTGAAGATGAAAAACAGTTAGTTGCAATGGAGGGAACATTTGCATTCCATACCATACCATAATTCACAAAGTTTTCGTAGTATGGATTATACAACTAAATTATTGAAAAGGTTTCACGATGCTAAATTTTCATGACCCAGGACAAAATGTGAGGCTCTTATTAAATCAGTATTTAAAAATTACTGTGAGAAAATACTTACAGAAGACTTGGAAACTGCAGCATTTGTAACGGTTTTATCTGATGCATCCAATCATAATGAAACTAAATTGTATCCAATACTAGTAAGATATTTTAATTATCAAGGCCATTCAAGTAAAAATTTTAAATTTAGAATCCATTGAGGGTGAAACTGCTGAAATTTTGTCAAACCATCTATACAGAGTAATAAATGAAAACAATTTGAAATTCAAAGTTGTTGCACTAACAGCGGATAATACAAACACAAATTTTGGTAGGCGAAGATGCAAAGGGATGAATAATATGTATGTAAAATTACAAGATTTGCTCCAAAAGAAAATACTAGGAATAGGTTGTAATGCACATATTTTGTCAAATGCAATCAACACGGCATCATGTGCTATGCCAATTGATGTAAAAGTAATAATAAATACAATTTATTTGTATTTTAGTCGTTTTACCATTCGTGTGGCTACTTTAAAACAATTTTGTGAAGAAGCGAATGGTCAATATAAAAAACTTTTAGGATATTCAAAAGTTAGATAGCTTGCTATAGAGCGTGTTCTACAATTATTTGAGCCTCTCCGTTCATATTTTTTAAGTTTAGACAAATGTCCTAAAATCCTGGAATCCTTTTTCAATAATGAAATATCTGAGATATTAATGCATTTTGTACATAATCAAGCATCTATTTTTCACAAAATGATTCAAAAGATTGAAGGTGAACATATTTCAAGCTACAGAAGTTAGTCTTATTTTGAATGATTTTATCTTTCAATATAAAACTTGATTTGAAGAAAAATTTCTTCCTTTAGTTATAAAAAGAAAATTGTCAGAGTTAGAGGAATCAAATCCGGGCATAATGGAAAAGTTTACCAAAGAAGTGCAGAATTTTTACCAAATATGTTTTCAATGTATCGAAGAATGGTCTGAAACAAACATCACAGGAAATAACAGTTTTCAATGGTGTTTTTTGACTTCATTGCAAGTATATTGGACAGATATTGAATCTTGTGTTGAGTTTTTATCTAAAGAAATGCCAGACATTAAAATAGACGACAATTGTCTCTTTGAAGAAATTAGAAGACTGAATGTATTTTTAAATTCTGAAAAATTAATACAATGGGAAAATAAACACGTTGAAATTGATAAAAAGATGAGTGGAAATATTCAGCCATTTCAAAAATGAACATATTCCATGTGAAAATTTATTTATTCTTGTTCAATTTACGTTGTGCTGTCCTGGAACTAATGCAGCAGTTGAAAAGATTTTTTCAATTGCTAATGATTTTTGGAAAAGTGAGAAATCGAGATTGAATGTTGATACTCTAGCTGCAGCACTTGCCGTAAAATTCAATATGAAGGATATTTCTTGTTCAGATATTTCCAATATATTGTTAGAAGATGATACATTGACAAAAATATTCATTCAATGGAAAAATACTCATTTAAATAATAATTAATAGGCATGCAAGCATAATTACAATATAAAATGTTATTGTTACAAACGCTTTTTTATTATGCATTTATCATATTATAGTATATTCTGTGTTATTGTTGCAATGAATAAAATGTTTCTTTTATTTATGATATTTTTTTCTTCAATTTATTTGTGTCCTCCTTTTCATTGTAAAAAAGTTGGTCACCTTATTTTTATTATTTAAAAATAATAAAATTGAGTGTTTCTCAATCTTAGCAATTTCAAGGTATGTGGTCTTCAATCTTACTGGCTGCGGACTTCTAGAAGTTGAAATTCACATATCCTCAAATTGCCAAGGTTGAGAAACACTGACATAGAGGAAAGAGTATAAATAATCTGTCTCTGTGAGGGACCAAGAACAATGTCTCATTTGAGTGAATGTGCTTCTTTTATATATGGAGTTTCCTCTTGCAACTAAGTTCTGATATACTAAGTTTCCATGAATGCACACTAATTTCACTTGAGAGGATTCTAGTTAGCACACTCAGAAAGTGTTTGGTGGAAACAAACTGATCAAAGCTGGAACTCCTCTAAACCAATGACTATTGCATAACTTATGGTAGGGAAAATACTAAGTTAAAAGTCTGGATTAAGTCCTTGAATTTATTGCCAAACCATTTTTTAAAAACCTTAAATTTTAGTCTTATGACAGTGGCATATTAATGCTAAAAACTTTTTAATATTAAGCTAGGGCAGAGTTCCCCAATCTTTCCAGCTTTGCGGACCGGTGGGGAGGGGGAGAGGGAATGGTTCCACACGAGCGACGGGCAAGTACACACATGCATGCAGCTCTATTAGCAAGAGCAACATGCACGTACGCCCACCACTTGTGCAAGTGGGGATGTGGGTGCATTTG